TCGTAGCAACTTCGACCCTTTTGTTTGAAGCCTTACAGATATAAAATCTTTCATCCATGCCTTGAATTTGTATAAAACATACCTAATTTAACGTGGTAGAGGCTCCTGGACTCGACTCGCATTCATGCTTCTCGAATTGAGCTCCAAAATAGGCTTCACAAACACGTTTCCAGACTTAGTCATTTCCAGGCAGTTTCCCAGTTTTGGCATAGCCTTTTGATGAGGTTCAAAAATGGTCTTTTGGACTCCCTATCGAGCTCTCAATCACTTCAATATGTAGAGGGACACTCCAGCTTCAAAACAAGTCATTAGTCTTCAATTTCCATCTAGCCAATTGTATGATATGAATATCCAAACTAGACACCATGAACTGTTTTTACATTGAAACAACAGATTAGGTCGACCTGATCCTATATGAGGTCGACCGGATCCTATATGAGGTCGACCGAATTCTAAATGAGGTCGACCTAATCCTAACTGAGGTCGACCGGAAAGTGCAAGTCACCGTGACATGCATGTCACCGTAGGCACACCCAACATTGTTACATATATATTTTATAGGGTGCGGTCTAATAATACGTTTATATATGCATAAGAAATAACTATCGTACCATAAACTTTACATCATGTATAATAATTAATATGGTTCCACAATTTTTACATATGCTAAACTAATATTATGTAAATACATAATAAGCATTGTAACGCACAATGGTTATCTATGCTAAACTAATATTAGTATATATAAAAAGCATTGTAACTTAATAATGAAAATCTTTTTAAAAAGCTTTGAAAGTTAATGATGGGACCTTAATAATAAGGGACAAACAAAGGTAACTAATCATGAGCTTATGGTAAAATTGGATGTAGGAGATAACAAAATTGTTATAGAACATTGTTACATAAATATTTTATAGTGTGTGGTCTAATAATAAAAATCAAATTTTAGAAAATAAAGTACGATTTAAATCTTTCATAATGTATGGTCTAATAACAAAATGTAATTTTAAAAAGTAACTAACTGTTATGATTAAACTGTTATTGCAAAGTTAACTAATCATGAGCTTATGGTAAGATTGGATGTAGGAGACACAAAAACTATTATAGAATGTTATTACATAGATATTTTATAATGTATGGTCTAATAATAAAATCAAATTTTAGAAAGTAACGTATGATTTAACTATTATGCCAAAATTAACTAATTATGAGCTTATGATAAAATTGGATATAGGAGATAAAGAAACTATTATAGAATGTTGTTACATAAATATTATATAGTGCGTGGGGTAATAATAACATCAAATTTTAGAAAGTAACGTATGATTATATCTGTTATGTGAAAGTTAACTAATCATGAGCTTATAATAAAATTGAATGTAGAAGATTAAAGAAACTATTATAGAACATTGTTACATAAATATTTTATAGTGTGTGGTCTAATAATAACATCAAATTTTAGAAATTAACGTATGATTTAAGTGTTATATCAAAGTTAACTAATCATTAACTTATGGTAAAATTGGATGTAGGAGATAAAAAAAACTATTATAGAACATTGTTACATATATATTTCATAGTGTGCGGTCTAATAATACGTTTATATATGC